CGACGTCCTCCTGCAGCTCCGGTCCCAGCTGCCTCTGTGGGTGGCCTCGCTACTGCCACCACGCGCATGCTCGCCGCCGGCCTGAGGAGTTCCTTAGCAGACCTTTATCCTGCCACCCGGGATGTCCTCGGCATGGAAAATCCAGGATCCTGCTGTGCTGGTACTACCAAGCAGGCAGCATAGCAATGGAGCCGGGACTTCGGTCTCTGCTCTGCCAGATGGGTGCCCTGGGCTTCTCCAGGCCAGCACGGTGAGCCGCCTGCCCCGGGCCAACGCGGAGGTGGTTCCCTGACACAGCGCTATTCCCAGACAGGGAATCTGTTTTATAACCCAGGTGTGGGTGATATTATGGGTTGATCCTTAAAAAAATTGTTAAAAATATGTATTATCTCCTCCTTGCTCAGGAATACGTGGGCTTCCTTCGGGAGACGTGGCCTTCCAGCACGCTTTGGTTTCCCGGCTGGTTTTGGTGGTTGTAGGGCAGCTCGGGACAGCCCAACCCCCCCCTGCCAGCCACAGACAGGGAGCAGCCCGCCCGGGCGGGGTGGCCGCCGGGACGGGCAGGGGCAGGCAGCAGGACACCGTGGTCACGGCAGCACAGCCATGGCCGGGTCACGGTGGCGACGGTGAGCAAGCAGGGCAGGGCGACGGCACAGCAAGGAAGTGCCGTCATGTCTGGCCTCGCCTGTGCCCTGCCCACAGCAGTGAGGGGGTGAGACAGACAGACAGACAGAAAGGAGGGAAGCGAGCAGTGCCATCCCATCACGTTCCCTTCTCAGCCTCTGTGCCCCAGCAGTGGTGGCTGCCGGGCTTCACTGGGGACCTCGGTGGGATCCTCTTCTGCACAGCGTTCCTGATGCTTCTCGGATGGGAGCACACGGAAGGTGTCGGGCCAGCAGCTAACGAGGAAGATTAACAAACCAAAATGTGGTCCAAGATGCCACTGCTGTAGATGGGAGCAGAGGACATCGCCAGCTAGGCATGACAGCCAGATGGCCTTTCCCCCTTCCTCGGATCCAGCCAGAGCTGCCTCCTCCAGGCAGCTGCTCCCAGCACTCACCAACTCCTGGAGGTACCTCGTCCTCCCCAGCAGCGAGAAAGAACCTGGCTGAGCAGCCCCAGAAGGACAGGTCCTCTGACCTTCAGCCCCCCCAAGCAGGATACAAAGCCCCAAGCCCCCTCCTCAAGCAGCTCTCCCCAACTCTGCTGGGAGAAGCACCCCAAGGGGTTGCAACTTGCTGCAAAGACCCCGGCCGATGACCGGTGCCGCTCTGCCTGAGTCCCTCCGCAGACTCACAGCATCCAAGCATGGCAGGGGTTGGCAGAGACCTCTGTGGGTCACCCAATCCAACCGCCTGCTGAAGCAGGGTCACCCACAGAGGACCTGGTCCAGGCAGCTCCTGAATATCTCCAGAGAAGGAGACTCCACAACCTCCCTGGGCAGCCTGCGCCAGGGCTCTGTCACCCTCAGAGGGAAGAAGTCCCATTGCCCCCTGCCAGCTCCTCGCTTCTCCAGAGAGCATGCAAGAGATGACAGAGCTTGGACGGTGAGGAAAAAACACAGGTAATCAAAGGACAGAAAAAAAGCCACCAGAGCATGGCTTGGTCCCTCCTCAGCCAGATCCCTCCTCCACCTTGAGGCCAAGTTCACCCCGCACCAAGCAGAGAACATCTGAGGAGGGTGTTTCTACCAGGGCTTCAGAACATCGATGAAAGGCTTTGGGGACCTGGAGGTCTGCTCCTCCCCGCAGCACACGTTGCCCCCCAGACGCTCCCATGTCAGACCAGACCCCATGTCTGGGACCGGGCCTCGGCTCCGCAGGACACGCACTGATGCTGTGTGACCTGAAGGTAAAATGAAGGGCTCCAACGCGCTTCCGAAGCGAAAGGTTTTAGCTCGGAAATGGGGAGAGGCTCCACGTGAAGCCACCACTCGTGCGAGACAGGCACCGCCCGACCTCCCGCTCCCTGCCTGTGCCCAGCTGAACATCAGACAGACTGTGCCAGGATTTGCTCGACAGCAATGCCAGCCAGAAAAAGGGGGATTTTAGAAAACACATTAGTGTCAATTATAGCTGAAGAACAAGAAGCTGAAGCCAGACAAACTGCAATAAAATACTAAAGACCTTGCCAGCTGAGAAGGGATTAGCTCTGACGCACGTCTCATTAACTTGCATTTTCCTCTCCTGGGTACCGAACCGCCCGGTCTGTGGCCACAGTCATCTGTCCAGGCATCAGAGAAATTTCACCTTCTTTATTCTGGGGTTTTAATTCCCAGGAGTCACGTCCTTCTCCACGGGTTCAGCTGACAGCAGGCAGGATTTTCCCCTTACGCTGTAAGACACAGCCCCCGGGGTTTCCAGGAGGACAGTGTTGCTCCAACAGCATCAGCACCAACAATGTAACCTTATTTTTTAAGGCCTGGAGAACCAGCAACACAAAATTCCTTGTAGCCATGGCAGTGGAGCAGCGGACGCGGGGAGGAGCCATGATCACTACGGTTACCTGCAGCCCACCACATGAATTTCCAAATTTTCCCCTTCTCCCACCCTAATCCAGCTTCATCTAATTAAACAAGAGGCAAATCTTACAATTGAGACACACCCCCATCAAGGCCCCCTCCAGAAGAAAAAACATAAAAGCAATACTCAAAAGAATGCCAAGGTATAAGGGGTTACAAATATTCAGACTTTATTATAAATAAGAAATACTGTTTTATACATAAAAACTGCAAGTGTTGCATTTTGTTCACCGCCCCAGACAGCAAAGACCACAGATTAAGGCAAAAAGCTGGAGTGAAGGCACATCCTGCAGGGCCACGGTCAGGAGTAAGGTGATGACGGGACCGCCACGCGCTGCCCGTGACGCCCGGCACCCCACCAGCAGCTGCTGCATCATCACATCACGTACGGAAATAACTGGACTTATACAATGAATAATGGCTGTAATGCAGTAGTGATTAAGAGATCGCTTATAAAGATTTTTTTTTAATTATTTAAAAATAAAATTCTGTTAAAAACAGCTTAAGGAAACAGAAATTTAAAGAGAGAAGAAAGCAGGAAACCTTAGGCCTGAGGTCAGCCAGGGCACGCGTGCGTCTTCGCATCTGCTCTTCTCGCAGCCGTGGCAGAGAGGGGACGCGGTTACGGCCAGCCACCTGGCCAGGACACCGACCCGATGCCCCACGCGCGTGGGTGAGCAGGGGTAAGCTCTCCTCCAGCAAGCAGGCGTGTCTGCGGGCAAGGGCAAGCCCCAAGCTGGCAGAGTGCAGGGATCTCTCAGAGCAGGGGTACATGAGCGACGCGGGGTTCGCTGGGGACACCCCCTGCCAGCCGCGCCACGCCAGGGGGTGCACCAAGCCTCCCGCCTCGCACAGTGGTATCAAGACGTCCCCAAATCCAGCTCTCCGACCACACAGCTCTCCCGATAGCACCACGGCTCCTCACAACCGAGCTGCAAACCCACAGCCCCCCGCTCTCCTCGCGGCACAGCATCCCCGGGGATGCGGGACACAGAACCGGGCGCTGTCAGCACCGTGCACCAGGGCGGGCTTCGGAGGGAGGGTGAGAAAACATCGCCTGACAGGCAGAGTGGTTACTGCTGATGCCCGTAAAGGTGCTGAGGATACCGGAGAGGGAAGAAAGCGGGAGCCCAGCTTGGAGAAAGACCGAGCTCTAAGGGAACAATACAGAGGGAAGCGCTCCACGGTGCACGCGCCTCGATGGCTACGGGGGAAATGCGCATAGAGGAGGCCAGGCTGTGCCACTCTGGAAATATGGCTGAGTATATTTACACACACATACGCACACACGAGAGACTTCCTCACACTACAATCATGATCAAAAAAAACGGAAAAAAAAAAAAAATCACATTCACACCAAAAATATAAATTTGAAATAATTAATAGCACCAGTGTGTGTCAGATAATAATTTCTTCCCCGCTACGCAAACGTACGAAGTTGCATAGTGTTTAAGGATAGATATATACTGGATCTCAAGGAAAGGGGGGGATGCCAGGCCGGAGGCAAGGAGGAAGGCGCAGAGGATGGTCTCAGAGGTCTCGGAGGGGGGCTGGCGGAGGGGAGAGGGGCTCCCCGCTGCTCCCACCCAGCACCAGTAAGCAGCTGGGAGGCACCACCCGGGGAGGCGGCGGCAGCGGTGCGGAAGGCAGAATTGTCACCAGAGCCTGGCCTGGAGTCCCTGTGCTTGTGGTGGCTTTGCGGTGACCGGGAGATCGGTAGGCAAGAAGAAAGGAGGGCACCAGTAAACTCCAGCTCTTTCTGGCAAAAGGCACGAGCAACACCAGGAGATACAAAACCGCCCCTGTCCTCCTCCAGGAAGAAGATGGGGAGAAAGACCTGGCCACTTCCACCTGCACGTCCCCTTCCATCCCCACCCAAAGACATTCAGCGTGAAGGCCAGTGCAGCTGCCAGAGCTGGCTGGAGGGCAGCTCTCCTCTTCAGCAAGACTCTTCCTGCTTGAACAAACTGTCAATCAGACATTCGTAGCCTAAAACAAAAAAGATCCTCTAGCACTTCGATAGCAACACCTACAGAGGGGAACGCAGCTCACGGCTTCCCCCCCCTCCAGCTACCCAGCAGGCAGCTGCTGACAGACCGGACCCAAAGCTGCTCCGTAGAGCAGGAACGGGGACCGAACCCCCTGCCACTCCACCAGCAGAAGACCTACCGCTCCACCCATCTTCCCAAAGAGTTCCTCTCGGAGGCTGCGTTTTTCTCAAGAGCAATGCTTCATCGCAGAAAGCATTTCACCAAGAGGCTTCGGCTA